TTACAAAAATCATCAAACTGCATCACGAGGCAAACCGTAACTTGAAATCCTATGAGAAGCGGAAAGGTGGAAGACCAAAGAACATATTACATCAGGAAATGGAAGCAGATATGAAAAGGATGAATAACAACTGGAAAGGATTACCCAGGACAAGGTTGGATAGCGAATGCTGATGAGCGGCCTATACTCCTCGATGAGGAGTAACAGGTGTAAGTAATTTTGTAGGTAAGTAAGTAGCATATGAGAACCTAACGAAATAAAATGAATTCAGATTATTTTTCATCAATTCAAATTTAAAAATGAAAATTTTCACATTCAATCAAAAACCAGTTTACGGCACATTGATTAGAAAGATACACAGTTTCCAGTTAAGGAACTGACACTGATGAATGCTTTTAATCCATTTAACCTAAGACTTTTTGGAATTGGACGTAAGTTCTCCTTTTGATTTTACAATTGTAACTGATTTGACAGATACATGTGAATTTTTACATACAGTTAGTGGTAACATAAAAGGGATATTATAGTTTGTAAGCATCAGACCAAAGAACGCATTACGCTGAGAAATGAAGATAGACATGAAAAGAATGAACAACAATTGGATAGAACAAGAAAAGAAGGCCTAGGACAGAGTAGGTTGGAGAATGCTGGTCGGCAGCCTATGTTCCATTGAGAATTACAGGCGTAAGTAAGTAAAATAAGCAGCTGATGAGAACCTGACGAAATAAAATATTGAATAGGTATAATTTTTGCAGCTCATTCGAAATCTATTACAATCGATTTTCATTTACATCATAAGCAAATGTTAAATACAATCAAGTGAAAAGGAAAAAACGTAATGAAGTTACTGTCTATCTGTGATGATGAGACTATAATTTATGGACGACCTTTAAGGCACACCAAAGTGATCTTGAGAGTATCCATCTAGTAACTAAGACCAAATGAGGGTTATAAGTCCATGTTAAGAATTTGAATAAGGATTTACAGTCAATGGGTAATGTTAGGAATTAGATTTAGGGTTTTCATCACGAACTGACATCAGCAATAATGTCAAAATTCTATTTAGCCAAATGGATAAGTAGATGTTACGCCTAAATCCAAGACCTGTTATCTTATATCTGATGGATTCGTCCATAAATTATAGTCTCTCCAAATGTAATAGTAATGTATTCTATTTTGTAACCTGGTAATTTTGCAACAATAAATAACGCTGGCTATTAAAATATACCATAACTTATGATTGTATCAGTCCTAAAAAGATAGAATTCGATGATACAGTTAAAAATACAGTCAACAATTGGGAATACATTATAGTCTTACAAGTCCTTAGTGTATTTAAATCAAAGGTTGAAGTTTTTCACGTCCGACTATATTAAATACCATTTAAGTGGAGTTGAAAAGCCTACACGTAGGAGTTATAATATCAAACTTCGTACTGGCCCCAAACGTTTGAACTACGAAGACGAATGATATCAATACTAATCCTCATGGAGTTCTCTTAAAAGTTTATTAGATATATTTTTCCAGTATTCACAATTGACTGATCACTGGGTGGTGATCAATTTCATGTATGTCATTTTCTTCTTAGTACAGATCCAAAACATGACAAGAATTCATGAAGCCACTGACAAGTGGACTGAGCCATGTTGGTAGGTGTAGACTTTCTGGTTGTGGACCGCGAGATGATAGAAACCGATGATTAGAGACCTTGAATGACATGCCTGAAAATCGGTTGCAATGATGCAGGTGCATCCACTCATTGTGTTCTCCTAAATTCTAATATTCTGAATTCTTCATATCCTTTTCTTTTTTCTCCTTCCAAATTTATTTCACTGGATTATACTCCTTGAATAATATCTTCAAACCCTAATATTTCCGATTACTGCTTATACTATTACTACCTCTACCACTACAGGATTTGAATCGACAATTGTGTCTGTGTGGAACTCGAACTGATGTACGTACGTACGAAGTTCTACACGGTTACCGACTGACTGACTTTGTTATCTAACTGGATAGTTTGGTCGTGGGGCTTTCATCATTCTTCTGAACTACATCATCAGTACAAACTTCAGGTAGAAGTGGAGTGTTCAAATTTCTCCACATGCAGTTCACAGCTTATCCCATAGGAAGTATACAGGAAGCCAATTCATACAGATCAAATTGTCAACTACAATAGCAACAACCCAAGAGCTCACAAAATCAACTGCGTACAAACTTTTTTCAAGAGAGCGAGGACTCAATGCGACACGCAGCACGAAAAAATAATGAAAAATAACTCAAGGCCATTTTTCAAAAGAACAGCTACCCAGTCAATTTCATTAAAAAAATACCAGACACATGCATCATCAGAAACAAAGTCAAATACAGAAGTCAACAAAAGGATCATCCTACCGTACATAAAAGGCATATCATAAACGACAACGAGACTACTGAAAACCTTCGGAATAGGTGTTTTACACAAACCAGCCAAATCACTACAATCAATCCTATGCAAACCAAAGGATGAAATGACAAATCAAACATCATCTACAAAATAAATTGTGCCAACTGAGAAAAACACCCTCTTTATCTTCGCTCACATGAACATCAATTAACAGTCAAGAGCCATGACATGTCCCCACTTATATCAATGCACGTGGACAACTGCGGACACACATTCGACTGGAAAAATGTGCAAATTTTGGATAGAGGCAATTCGAAAAACACCAGAAAACTTTTAGAAGCTTGGCACTCAGGTCGATCAGCAATCAACAAGCACATTGAAATTGATTCAATTTACCAACCAATCAAGAAAATTATGAACAAATATAGGAACAAAGAAGTAAACAATGACAGGTTTAAGGTCAACAAGAACTAATTAACATTGAAGTATAGAGGACAAACAATGAACCAAATGTAGAGAAATTCGAACACTCCACTTCTACCTGAAGTTTGTGCTGACGATGTTGTTCAGAAGGACGACGAAAGCTCCACGACCAAACCATTCAGCTCAGAGAACAAGACTCCACCAAAATCATCCGCCTGAGCTACAAATCTTCTCCACCATCTCACAATAAATACTGCTGGACTGGAGTTGTTTGACAGGATATCAAAATATCCAAATATCACATCTGTAAGTAACTGTACTATAACAATAGCACACTGAATCTAACTTGATGTCATTAATTAAGATAACTTTCCTGCATGACTTTTGTTGAATGCTAATGGCATTACCTCTCATTATGTGATTTGTGTGTCATCTGTCGGCATGTTCTTAAAACTGTATGTATTTGATGTGATTGAATTTTGTTTCAGTAAAATTCCTATACATAAAAATTATATTCATTCTCATGTATTACTTATGAAATTTGCAAATGACTTTATTGACTTGTGTTTCTGTGATCTTGCACTTTGTAAATAATTGTCTTTTCAATTGGTTGAAGGTTAGCCCGTGTATTTTCGTCGATTTAAGGAAAGTCATGTAATTTAGTAGTATAAACAAAGTTGAAGCCGATTGAGTTGTATTACACCAACTCAGCAACCTTCGATTACTGGAATAATAAGTTATAAGTGGATTAATGGTGGCTAGATGAACAACTTTTGTCAACTTATGAAGTCAATGACCACTGGATTGATTTGGTTCGAGAGATATATACTTTCTAATAAAGTTATTTGGCAAATTCTTGATTAATAGTGAGAAATCACTAGTGATATGAATTGAAATTAGTGCCACTGGCGAACACACATTCTTCTCCTCACTTTTGAGCCTGTAATCATTCCACTGATTTTATTGTTCTATCTTATCCATTTCATCAGAACTATGCTACTTATTTTAAGTTATAACCATCATTACATTATTCTAATGAATCTCCAACTTTCATCTTTGCAAATTTCTAATATTGTTCTGACGTGCATTATGACAATGTTTCACCAATATATAATGATTTTAGACTGTACGTTCTCTATGAGTCTGTAGCGTGGCGTCGAGTTGAGGTAAACTATGAACACCGCTACCAATAAACACGTGCCAAATAAATCAGAAGGCGAAGGTTGGACGTAACCAAATAAATCCATAAAATCCCAGAGAAGCCAAATACCAGAAGGCAATTAATGGACCAAATCGAGATGTATTCGCTGGCGATCTCGTGGCATCGAAAGGATACCGAGATCGTGCCAGAATACAAGCTTGGTTACAGAACGTAACCGAATTCGCGCGAAGTTACAATCAAAGTGTGAGTATCAGAATGGAAGCACAAAATAGATGTCATTAGCACAGTCAAACAAAAGCACGTTAAAACAAACACTGGTACAGTTGGTTATAATAATAATTGTTTTTATTAAACCAGTCGTGTTCTCGTGATAAATGTGAGTCACTACAAGTCAATGGTTAACACTAATTTTTTCTTGTCTCAATCAATTGTTTTAAAAGCTGGGAATATATTCAAATATGCTATAAATCAATATAAGGACTTTACTATGAAACAAAATATGAAAATCTAAAATTGTACCTTCACTTCAGTTGGTATTAAGTGTATTTTATCCGTGATAGATTCATTCACTTCAATCGGTTGATCAAGTTTTGCTTGACAATCTTTTAATTTGCCTTCAGTTATTTGTAAATGACGATTAGCTTGCTCTAAAGAAACTTTTGTTGCACGATTTTCTTCATCTTTTATGCGTAATTCTTGTTTCAATTTCTCAACAGATGCTGACGTACAACTGATCTCTCCCATTATCGCTTCAACTTCACCACGTACCTATTTCAAATCTTTTACTATTCGTTCTTTTTTAAGCAGTTCTCTTTGTGCTTCAAGATTTTTATTCTATCAAAAATGTTATATTGAAAAGTAAATAATAAAATGATCTGCTTAAAGTGACCAGAGTTTTAAATAAGTCACTACACTATCATGGAATGACTTCAACATGTTAATTTACTCATATTTTGGATCATTCTGTTGTTTATAAAATCTCAAAAAAGGAATCATCATTATGATTATTATCTTCATTTGAACTATTCTACTCTACATTTTGAACATGATCAAAGTTTACTTTAACTACTTTAAAGTAGTTCCATATCATTGGTAAAATAAGTAAACGATTGGTTAAAATATCGTTCACTTATGTATACAGTATAATACATACTTGAAGTGTAAAGTTTGAACTATTTAAAAGCCAACAAGTATGTAGACGAAGGTCAATACTTTCTGGGTAAAATCTGAATAATAAAGATCACTCTATTTATGGTTCTTAAACAACTTGAATTTTAAACAAGTAAATTTATCTTTTAATAACATAGAAATCACATTCAAATAGTTTTGTTATTTTTTGTGCTTTGACTAAAGTTTTAGGTTTATCCAATAAACCTTCAAAAATTTCTTCAAGATAAAATAAATTGTAGTCAACGATGTTCAGAATGTGACAAAATAATCTGCTTTGTAATTTCCTGAAGTCAGCGTAGTGTTCTAATTGATATAAGTAAATAACATATATTCTAATTAAATTTCTCCAGTTACTAAGGCTACCATTTTGAGTAATAAGCTGCTATTTTACAAAGATTAGGTGATTCAATAGGATTTATGACAAGGCAGTGCCAATTCCGAACTTTTTGAATAAACTAGTTTGTTCTATATCATAAAATAGGAAAATAGTAGCCATGCAATCAAAATTCAACGCCAATGAAACTAAAAATAATCTTGATTTAAAATCTCAAAAAGTGCTTGTTTTTATTCAGCAGAAAAATGTTTAAAATTTTAACTAAATGGCCCGAAGTATTGAGATACACAACAGAAGGATAGCCAGATATCGCGTCATAATTTGTAAATTCTTCCAGTTAACTAATCATATATATCAAGGGTTTCTAACTTGATATGAGACGCTTAACCTCATCGATGCCACCTCACTCAGCTACGAACATCTTAGGAATGAGAATATGGATTTCTCTTTCTCGATCTTATTCTAAATTTATTCCCAATTCTGCTTGCATTTTACGTCCACTTCTTTACTTGGTTTATAATAAACAGTTCCTATTGGAACGTGAAACGAGTATAAACTAGGACACATTCTACAGTCCTCAAAAACAGCGAAAACTTCTCTAGTCTTTTGACCACCTGAAAAGTTTACCCTCACTACAGACGGATTGATAGTGGGAGTAGATAGAGTTGGTGGTCAAAATCATACCACATGCATATTCTCTATCATGTCTCTCATATTCTGCTAGTACGACGATTGTCATTGGTAGAACAGAGTTTCAAAAATAACACTGGCAAGTATTTCGGAAGTATCTAACATTAGTCTTCATACGAAAGACATGCTTGGAATTTCTGACTTGCATCTTTCGAATCATACAAACGTAATCACACCAGTTACCATGACCTAGATTGAAACCAGAGTTACGCTTTTGCATCAAAAGGCAAACTTCAAATACATATAAGTGTTAAGAATATTTCGTAAGAAGGCAGGAAATAAGGAAAATGATGGAAATCATCTCCTCCTCAATCAATCACAACTCATCACCATACATCACTGTGGTTCCATACAGTCAGACTATGTTGTCTGTGAATGGAACTAAGAAGGGCACTGCCACTAGTCGGTGTTGTGCATTCGACCAATTGTTCAAGTGACTCGGAACGCTGTGAGAATATGCACAGTGCCACGTGGTGGTTGTGTTTGATATAATGGACGTTTGTCTACTATACGATTCCCAAATTCATTCGTCATGTTTCGTTTTAATTGAGACGGTATGCAGTCACCTAGTTGTACATTATCTAATACTTCATAAATTGTCTGCTAGTCGGTGAGAGATGTAACACGAATGACCGTTCTCTTTTTACGCAATCGTATGGTGAGTCAGGATCCTACTTAAAAATAACGTCAGGTACTTATTCAATAACGTTGTCCGGCAGCAACCACTTTGTCTAACTAAATTTCCTGCTCTCACTTGTAATTCTCTTTCCAACAACACAAAGCAAAACAACTTTCTAAGCGTGCAAACCATAGTTCACACTTTAGAGCATTAAATACAGGTAAAGCTACAGAGATGGCACCCATGGAATACACTTACATAAAAGGTTCAGTCAATTATCAAATAACATGATACCAAAAAATAATAACAACACCAATAACAATAAGCTCAGCATTGAAATATACAATATGAGGAATTAACAAATAACAACAATAAATACATACATGAGACTCACCGAATAATAAAACTGTCACTTTGGCTTTAAATATGCAGACTTTGTAGACAAAAATGGTGCATGTTCCAAATGTCACTGCGGCTGCTGCTGCTGCTGCTGCTGCTCATCAACCAACTTTGTTCAAGCTAATTTCCTTTATATCTGATTCCAATGAATAATAATTATAAGAATAATAATATCATCCCGTTAACTGAGTATTTAAAGCAGGCTTAATCTTCCAGTAGAATTATCAGCTACATTATGCAGTTTCCAGTGTAGCATCAAGTAATCGCCGATAACATTCGGTGACCTGGAATGCTTTAACTAGAGAAGACGGTTGATAAATGAGCGTGAGCAGGGTCAGTGGAAAAAATAACAGTGTAAATAGATGTAGGATGAAGATGGATATGAGTGGGATAAATGGAGGTTAAAGTAAAAAAAATGTTGATACTGATGAATAAGTTTTGTGCATTTCGTATCATTTTTCTTGTGGTCGAGTGGTCTAAGGCGTTGGATCTGTCCTGCAGTGTTAATGGGCGCCGGATCGAGTCCCAACCACATCAGAGTTGTTCACAATCACTCGAGGCACAACATAACCAACAGGTGACACTCTGCACATTCTCACAGCGTTCCGTGTCACTTGAACACTTGGTGCAATGCACAACACCGACCAGTGGCACTGCCTTACCTAGTCCCACCCACATCATAGCTCTTCACAATCACTCCAGTCACACCATAACCAACAGGTGACACTCTGCACATTCTCACAGCGTTTCGTGCCATTTGAACACTTGGTGCAATGCACAACACCGACCAGTGGCACTGCCTTACCTAGTCACATTCACAGACAACATGGTCTCACAGTATGCTACTACTATGATGTATGCTGATCAGTGTATTCCTATCAGCCATCGGTGGAGAGGCTGAATAGAAGACTGACGCTTGTTGTGAAGCACATGCTTGGATTCACATGATCCTCTAGTACGAGCACGTATTTGTATGCGTCTTACTGGACGTAGGAAAGATGCTGCAAGAAAGCCTGTTAGGGTTGTACTTAGTGATGATAGCCAAGCTGAGTATATATTTGAGGAACAACTAGGAATACACTGATCAGCATACATCAGAGTAGTAGCATACTGTGAAACCATGTTGTCTGTGAATGTGACTAGGTAAGGCAGTTCCAGTGGTCGGTGTTGTGCATTGCACCAAGTGTTCAAGTGACACGGAACGCTGTGAGAATGTGCAGAGTGTCACCTGGTGGTTATGGTGTGACTGGAGTGATTGTGAACAGCTATGATGTGGGTGCGACTCGTATGGTGAGTCAACATCCTACTTAAAAATAACACCAGGCACTTATTCAATAACGTTGTCCGGCAGCAACCACTTTGTCTAACTAAATTTCCTGCTCTCACTTGTAATTCTCTTTCCAACAACACAAAGCAAAACAACTTTCTAAGCGTGCAAACCATAGTTCACACTTTAGAGCATTAAATACAGGTAAAGCTACAGAGATGGCACCCATGGAATACACTTACATAAAAGGTTCAGTCAATTATCAAATAACATGATACCAAGAAATAATAACAACACCAATAACAATAAGCTCAGCATTGAAATATACAATATGAGGAATTAACAAATAACAACAATAAATACATACATGAGACTCACCGAATAATAAAACTGTCACTTTGGCTTTAAATATGCAGACTTTGTAGACAAAAATGGTGCATGTTCCAAATGTCACTGCGGCTGCTGCTGCTGCTGCTGCTGCTCATCAACCAACTTTGTTCAAGCTAATTTCCTTTATATCTGATTCCAATGAATAATAATTATAAGAATAATAATATCATCCCGTTAACTGAGTATTTAAAGCAGGCTTAATCTTCCAGTAGAATTATCAGCTACATTATGCAGTTTCCAGTGTAGCATCAAGTAATCGCCGACAACATTCGGTGACCTCGAATGCTTTAACTAGAGAAAACGGTTGATAAATGAGCGTGAGCAGGGTCAGTGGAAAAAATAACAGTGTAAATAGATGTAGGATGAAGATGGATATGAGTGGGATAAATGGAGGTTAAAGTAAAAAAAATGTTGATACTGATGAATAAGTTTTGTGCATTTCCTATCATTTTTCTTGTGGTCGAGTGGTCTAAGGCGTTGGATCTGTCCTGCAGTGTTAATGGGCGCCGGATCGAGTCCCAACCACATCACAGTTGTTCACAATCACTCGAGTCACAACATAACCAACAGGTGACACTCTGCACATTCTCACAGCGTTCCGTGTCACTTGAACACTTGGTGCAATGCACAACACCGACCAGTGGCACTGCCTTACCTAGTCACATTCACAGACAACATGGTCTCACAGTATGCTACTACTATGATGTATGCTGATCAGTGTATTCCTATCAGCCATCGGTGGAGAGGCTGAATAGAAGACTGACGCTTGTTGTGAAGCACATGCTTGGATTCACATGATCCTCTAGTACGAGCACGTATTTGTATGCGTCTTACTGGACGTAGGAAAGATGCTGCAAGAAAGCCTGTTAGGGTTGTACTTAGTGATGATAGCCAAGCTGAGTATATATTTGAGGAACAACTAGGAATACACTGATCAGCATACATCAGAGTAGTAGCATACTGTGAAACCATGTTGTCTGTGAATGTGACTAGGTAAGGCAGTTCCAGTGGTCGGTGTTGTGCATTGCACCAAGTGTTCAAGTGACACGGAACGCTGTGAGAATGTGCAGAGTGTCACCTGGTGGTTATGGTGTGACTGGAGTGATTG